TATTCACCTTTCTGTTCTCTCTGGGCCACCTGGTGGATTCTGATATATTGTCCCCTCACTTATCAAATAAGAGTTCATTGTTCATTCAGTGAAGGAAAGGTATCATCAAAGCCCATGGTTCTTGGTAGCCTAGTTATTTACTATGATACTTTTTGCTCCTGAAAATCTTTAAACTTAAAACCAACAGAACCATCTGACATACAAAAACAGAATCTAAAAGCTCTCAATAATTATTTGTGAACTGAAATAAGATCCTGCTTAGAAGTGTGTGTGTGTGTGTGTGTGTGTGTGTGTGTGTGTTAAAAGCTCTTTAATTTTCAAGGCCAAATCCCCAATTTCCTAACACAAATGTTAGAGCTTCTTAGTGCATAGCAAGGATCTGACCACATGCTAAACATAGCTTACAGAGACACAAAGCTTAACATGAACTGGGACTCACTTCTTTTGACTGAGGAGTATCTCCTTTCAAATAAGTGGTGAGGCAGAGGGATGTGTAGAAGAGGAACTTATTTCTTACGCATAATTCTCGTTTGCTTCCAGTACTATGCAGATTTCTAGCAAAGAAAGAGTCAGGGAAAACAGCAAACCATTACTTGAGACCAGACCGAAGAAGCTAAGACATGGAGAGATTACAGTTTATGGGCTGGGTAAATCTAATGGCAGCAATGTACTGGCCCATCTCCCCCAGATGGCACTTCATCTCTACAAAGACATTGGAAAGGGCTATCCTATTCCTTGCCCTGAAAAGGAAGAAAAAGTTATAGATTTCTTTGCCTCAAAGCAATCTTCTAGAGAAAGGAATTGTTCCCTTCACATCAGTATTTTATCAGAATCAAGACTTAATGGTTAAATAAAAGGAAATGAATCCTGTTCTCTCAGATGCCCGGCATGCACATATTCCCTGTCTTTCTTCTTCCCATAATGGCACTTGACTTGGTCTTAAAATGTGGCTTTTCTAAGAAGGAACTTATGTTTTCAGAAAACAGGACTTTTTCAAAATCAGAACTTCCTATGTGAAAATTTTTGCTGTCATTTTTTCTCATATGTACTTCACTTTAAGTGAGGTGTTCCCTCGCCCCTCTCCTTTTTAAAAGAGAATTTATACTGACCCAGCTACCCTCACTCCCTCCCTACATGTCATAAAATGTCAATACAGCAGACTGGGTGCTACAACTATAAAACAGAAAGAAACTACCAGTCCCACAGAGGGACCAAACTCACAATTGTGCTAAGAAATACTATGATGGCCCTAGCTGGTTTGGCTCAATGGATAGAGTGTTGGCCTGTAGACTGCTGGGTCCAGGGTTTGATCCCAGTCAAGGGCGCATACCCAGGTTGTGCTGGATCTCCAGTAGGCAGTCGATCAATGATTCCCTCTCATAGATGTTTCCCTTTCCCTTCCCCTTTCCCTTCCTCTCTGAAATCAATTTAAAAAAAAAATATATATATATATATATATTTTTTTTTTAAGATAAGAATTCACATCCAGCTCTGTTAGACTGCAAAGGGCATTCTGTTTATTAATCTGCTAACCATCTTTAAAGCCTTTGTTGCCATGGGACAAAAATAGTTTATTAAAGAATAGGTTAATTTTAAGATTCAAAGTTGTATATAAATAGATTTTTAGACACACTGCCATGATACATTATTAAAATAAATAATAGGAATGATCTTTTAATTTTACTTGAAATTTTAATGTTTGTGTTAAAATTGTTTACTTCATTTTTTTTAATAAAAAAAAGGAAACTTAGAACCACTTATATCATTCCTCACATTGTACTCGGGTTACTGAGGATGTAATAAGCCCTAGAATCCCATGTTTTCGCACTATACCCCCATCCCCAAATCAGTGAAAGGATGAGAAATGAAGTGACGACAATTAAACATAACTTAGATTTGGAAGCAAATGATTTGTGTTCAGAAATCAATGTGTTCCTTTAGATACCTGGGGATTTTAAGTCAAACATAGAGAGACAAGCCAATGCGTTCCAACTCTGATATTCAAAAGCTCTCTGAAGAATACTAAACAAAACCAAGCATAGTGCTTTAGATATACTTTCTCACTACGTTAGGTATACTTTTTAAGTAACAACTTGAAATTCAGCTCTGGTTTACATCTCTTTAAAAAAAAAAAAAACTTGTTCTAAATTTATTTGTACGATGTCAATTACATGAATAAAATAAAAGCTGAGAAACTCTCCCTAAGAAAATGGGGTTGTTGTTTTTTTTTTTTTGCTCGAAACCCTGTTCTGCTACCTCTTCGAGCTTCTTGAAAATGAAAATCTCTGTGTCTTCCAGATGACAGCTACCTTTTTGGTGGAACCGAAATAGCTCTCTCGGGTAGAAAGCTGTCTGTCAGTAAGAGTTCTGACAGATACCTGATTTGGCATGCAGGAGGAAGGCAAGAAATGGTCCCATGGTAAGAGGCTCAGTGGCAGCACCTGATGAGCTAAGGAGCAAGAGAGGAGGGATGCTTAGAAAACAATGCACTCCTAGACACCAGATCAAGCACGAGGAAACCAGTGGGCATTTCGGGAAATGACAGGTAACCTAGAGAGGAGAATAGAGTCATTAGCTCTTCTGGGATTTTGAAAAAGCTGTGCAATATGCAATGAACGGGAAGGTTTCCATTTGCAAAAGGAATCAAATCCACTTTTATGCATAGGATTTTCTCTCCCTCTAGTGGTGGGGTGGTAGTTTTTGAAGTGATATGCTATCACTGCATAAGATGTTTCCATTATAGCTCATTTTGCCCATAAAATTAGGATTTTCATCAGGTGTGCTGCTATCTCTTACAGGGTTTTTCAAAAACATCTCCAGCTCTTCTTGTTAGGGAGTGAATTGCCTCCTAAGCATTCTGATCAGCAATGGTAAGGTAGCAAGGTGCTCCCTTTCCTTTTGGCTAAAGGATTCCCATGCTCATTTCTGAGATACCGGGTTCCCTCTCCTCTGCAGGTCTATCAGAGTGGGACTCTCCTGACCCCAACCAAGTCTGGGCCAGAAAGACCTAAGGAGCTACACGAGAAAGAGAAACCAAGCTATCCTAGAGTAAAGGTAGGAAATGTAGAAACTCATATAGGAGAGAAACTATAGAAGGGTCCAAAGAGTAATCTGAATATGATAGAAGAACAATAATTAGAGATAAACTTCGGAACAAATCTCTAATTCTACTTTGTGGTCTCTGTCATGTCTCTCGTTTTCCTTTTTGATCATGTGAAAATATTTCTGGTTTAGCAATTTGGATCAATGATAGTGGGTGAAAAAATAAAATGGATAGAAAGAGTAAATAATGACAATTTTAAGGAGAGTGACTGAAATTGGCTACACAAATGAATTAAATTGCATATCATATTTGTATCAGAGTATTAATGGGAATAGTTGTAGGTAATAACTGTCTAATTAATAGATTATTTATTGATCAATAACTAAAAATCTATCAGTGTGCAGTATGCAGACTATGTGGCCTTTCCCCTGTTCCATATTCAGTTAGGCATCAAAGATGCCTACTTCACTTCTCTTGTCACTAAGGCAACCAAACTCATATTTTCCTGCAAATCCTCTTCTAGTTTCCTTATCTCGATGAATAGCTCTATCACTCATCCAATTATACAAGTCAGAAATTAGCCTTCCACCATCATATCCAACCCATCACCAAATACTTCACTCATACTTTCTAAAGCTGTCTCACATAGGTCAATTTCTCTTTGCCTCCACCACGACACTATTTCATCACCTCCCTACAAAAAAAAAAAAAAAAAAAAAAAAGATATCCATACCATCCTTTGTCAAATGCATTATCCACACTGCCCTCCTTCATTCAACAAATATTTGTGAGGGGCCTATTTTGTACTCTGGTAATACTGTGTTGAATAAGACAAATTCTCCATAAACATCAGATCTTCCTAAGTACTATGTGGAGAATTAAAATAGGGAGACATAATAGAGAATAGCTGAATGACTAAGTTGTGTGTACAAATTCAGGAAAACAATGATAGTTTCAACAAGGGGTATGAGTTTCCAAGCAGGAAAAATAAAGGAAGTCCACTGGAATGATGGCATCTGCTATCAAGGCTGTTTCGAATACTGGCCAAGAACATAAAAGAGAAAGTAGGCATACTCAGGAGACATACAGATTTAGTTCCAGACCACCATAATAAAGCAAGTATATGCACACCTCAGAAATATTGTGGGTTTGGGTTCTAGACCATCATAATAAAGTACAGTATTTCAGTGAGCCATCATCTTTTTGCTCTTGGAGGGTCTTAAGTTCCATTTTATTAAAATATGCAACACCTATGAAGTGCAGTGAAGCAAAGTGCAATAAAACGAGTTATGCCTGTAAGTTAAAATGCACTAGAAGGGCTCAACGTAGGTCTGTTTGTCTCCAAGCAACTCTCCTTTAGTATTAACACTTTTCACCGGCATGAAAGTATCCAGTTTTTGTTAACTTTTCTGTATGTCTTCCCTCCCAAGTATGGAAGCTCCATGAGCATGCTGTCTTGTTCACTTCTGCAACCCCAGTGCCTAAGAAATGTGCCTGGTATTGAATAGACTCGCAAATAAGTATTTGTTGCATTAATGCACACATTGGTGTGTGAAGTGGGACAGTAGACAGAGAAAATGATTGAGCGGGTTTGGGGATTCAGGAATTCTTCTAGATAGGTCAAGGTCATTGACTTCAGTTCGAAACGTTAACTGTGGTATAAAATCCCAGCCACTTTTCTCAGCCTCGGATTCTCCTCACCACCTGCTCTCCCTCAAACTCTTACACGTGCTGTTCCCAGTCACAAACCTCTCCAACTCCCCGCTAGGAGGAGTCACCCCTTCTGACCCGGAAACCCTCACTCTCTCTCTCCTCCAGTTCTCTGTCCCTCCCCTCCCCGCCTGGGTGCCTGCAGCCTCCAATTCGCAATGCTCGCCGGGAATGGAGGTCTTCCCGTTGGAGCCTATAGAGTTTTACACGTTTCCAGAACTACACTTCCCAGAGACCCTTGCGGCAGAGGGCGGCTGCGTCACCTGACGCACGGCTGTGGAGCAATGGCGGCGCCCGTGCTGCGCTGGAGCTGTCCCGCTAGGCGTTGGATTTTGGCCAACATTGACCGCGGTCCTCGCCACGGAAGAGGGTCTCCGACTGGGTCCAGGTCCAGCGGGAAAAGGGGACAGAGCTCAGTGGCTCAGCAGCCCCTCGCCACGGCCCAGAAGCCGAGGAAAGGGTATACGATTTCATAACATACTGCCCAATCCAGTGTGAGGGGCAACTGCGGGACTGGGAAGATGAGGGCCACTCAGCTCCGCAGTCAGTTTGGACATTCTGTGAAGTGGGAGGGCGTTGGGCTGTAACTTGCAGCTTGCAAAGCACAAGATGTGTCCTCTGTGAGCCCCGCCTCCGCACAGAAACCGCTCTCCCCAAATAGATGTGTGGTGTATTGGGGGAATGCGCAAGTGTTTTCTTTCTTTTTTAAAATATATTTTATTGATTTTTTACAGAGAGGAAGAGAGAGGGATAGAGAGTTAGAAACATCAATGAGAGAGTCACCGATCAGCTGCCTCTTGCACACCCCCTACCGTGCAAGAGGCAGCTGATCGGGGATGTGCCCGCAACCAAGGTACATGCCCTTGACCGGAATCGAACCTGGGACCTTTCAGTCCATAGGCAGACGCTCTACCCACTGAGCAAAACCGGTCTCCGCACGCAGATGTTAAGTGAAAGCTACACAGACGGAAGAGTGGATTCAGTCACCTTACTAATCGCCCTGGCAGTGGGGTCTGTGCCGCTAGAAGCGGGATCTTATTTATAGCTGACATTTAGCATTACTGTGGGCCAGCAATGTTCTAACGGTAGAAAGGGAGCCTTGACCTATAAGCGCTGGATAGTGGTGGCTTCCATGTCCATGGTCAGGAAGCACCACCTGCTGTGGAGGCCTCTCATGGTGAACATATGTGTCTAGACACAGGAGGCTGCAGCCAATACAAGAAATCTTCGCTCTGGCTGTGTAGAGAGCTTTGCTTATTTTGCTAGATATCCCCTGAACAGCTTGTTAATTCTTTACTATGTAAGACTTTTAAACAGTTTCTCTTTAAATACATCAGTATAAGGCACATGTCTATTCTGTAACCTTTTATGAGATAGTTAGGTTGGCATTACTTGTCTTTCTCAATTGGAGGAACAGAGGGGAAAGTGTACAGAAGATTGATTTCTGTACTTTTCATTAGATCACCTCACTGAATGGAAAGTATTTTTCTTTTCTCTCATGTAATGAAACTGAAAAAAGTACTTTGAATAATATTTTGGGGAAATGAAGACTTTCTACTGAAGTCTTCATTTAATTCCTCTCAATTATAGGCAATGCTTCTAAACTGTAAAAAAATTAATCTCACAATATTGTAGATATAGAACTTCATATGTTGGAATGATTGAAACAAAATCTAAAACATGTAAACAAAAATCTAGATAATATAGAAAATAGCTTGGGGAAAAAGCAGGATAGGAACAAAGTATGAGAAGAGTATGGTGAATAGGCTATCTTCAAATTGGGTTTTGGAGGAACACTTATAAGAACCTGGAGAGACCTGTATATGGAACATTCAAAGATCCAACAGAGGGGTGGTCAGATAAGAGAAATTACAGCTTTTAACAGCTTCTTAGATTTTATAGCCATCAAACATAAGCAGATAGGCAAAAGAACTTGAACCTAGATATGGGTAACTGAAAGTGATTTGGGGACAAAAATAAGAAAAGCCAAATTGATGGTTTAATGTTTTCCTGTGCACAAAATTTCCAGGACTATTATTTAGTAGTGATCGATTATATCCATGTCACTGATAATTTCACTTGTGAGCCATTGTTATAAAAAGGAATTGAAAACATAACAATTTCTCTTTTTAGAAAATGAGATGTGCAGCTATTATTATTTCTCTAGTAGTAGAATCCTGATGTTAACTCTAAAAATGTGTACAAGGTCAGCTTTCTTCATTTGCTGAGTGATTAATTCATGAAGGACAGTTAATTTAGAAAAGGCTGTTTTTCACTGAAGTCAGCCAAGCAAACATTACCTGATACCCATTTTTAAATTAAGATGTCAAATTGTTCCTTTCTCTGTGGCCTACTGTTTGTACAGTGAGCTCTCTATGCCACATTGTAAATGAATTTTATTTTGCTGGTCTTGTAGGTGTTTATCATGAATTGCTTTTGATTTAAGCACTAATACAAGATGACACATTTTTAAATGTAAGAAAATAAAATGTTAATAAGGTAAAAACAAATAGGAAATTAACATTTGTGGCTTAGGCTCATAGAAATTTATGTATGGTGACAGATGTAACTATTGCTTAACCATTATATCTTTCTCTTTAGTGAACACCAATGGGCAGCCGTGGTGGGTTTGGAAATTCATGCCCAGATTTCCTCGAACTCGAAACTCTTCTCTGGATCTCAAGTCCACTTTGCAGCACCTCCAAATTCTTTAGTATCTTTCTTTGATGCATCTCTGCCTGGAACATTGCCGGTAAGATTTTTATTTAATACTCTTTACATTAGAAAGTGTTTATGTTTTATTGAACATAGATCATGATTTCTTTGTTTTAATATCTTGGCACAGCTCTTAGGAAATATTTGCTTAGGGAATTTTGGATGAAATAGGATGGAGTAAATGTTTTCTAAAGACCCATCTCTATAATTTTTTTTAAGTCTAAATAGCATGTTTATTCATCCATTTATTTACTCATTTCACATGCATTTTAGAATGTCTACTAAATATTGGACACTGTGCTATAAACTGGAAAATAAAGATGAGCAATGATCCTTGCTTTTGAGTTCAAAGACTATTTGGGGAAGTGTATTTTATAAACAAGTAGAATACTGTGTGATTACTCCTGGGGGGGGGGGGGTAATAGGCAGAGTATGAGACAGGTAATAAGTAAGAGAAGGACTGTTATGAGGAATTGGAGTAGGGTATAGTTGGTTAAGAAAGGGTGTTGGATGAGGTGGTATCTGAGAGGCCAGGTAAAAGTCAGGCAGATAAATGAAGGAAGAGGACTTCATGCCTGTGGTCTTGATCCAGCATCTAGAAGGGTTTTAGGAATCTGGAGATGTTGTGTGTAAATTAATCAAGAGTCCAGAGATGAAACATTATTTTGGAAGGCATTATGGGGGGGCCAGAGAAGACTTAGCTGAAGGAACCAAGTTTTTCTGTCTCTCTGGACCCCTTGCTTTTTATTTACACAAATTGTCTTAAAGCAAGGTAGATATATTATTACATATCAAAGGCCAGGGTTTAGTACATAGACTCCATTGTCAGATTGGGAGAATTGCCTAAGGCACATGTGTCAAACACAAGGCCCAAAGGCCAAATCCGTCCCGCCAGGCCTTGCAATGTGGCCCGCACCGCGCTGTCATCACTGCACTCCGATGCGTTTCCATCACAATGACAGTTTATGACTGTTCAGTAAACCATTCGGCCCGCGATTTAGGCTGGATTTTAGATTTTGGCCCCTTCTCTGATTGAGTTCGACACCTCTAGGTGTTTGGCCAACAGGAGGCAATAACAGTAGATTGAAATGCCCTCAGCTGTCTGGCAGCAAGCAAGCAGTCATTTAAGTCTCCTTTTCAGGTTTGGGGAAATGCTCTCAGCCATTTCCAAATGATTCAGCCCTACTGACATGCTGGAATTGGCTTCCGGCAACTTCAGTAAAAGGAAACAACAGCATATATATCACAGGATATTACAATATAAGGCCAGTAATGATTATGGTTGTTGAAAATTAAGAAGTGATCAAAATGGGGGAGGGGGGGGGATTCAACCACAATATACATTAACTACTCATTTATCTACTTATTTTTACTTAAGCTGAAGGAATGACTGGGTCTAGCATACTCATCAGCAAAATTTTAGCGTATACTTTCATAGAATTGGCTGAATTTCAACCAACTCTAGAATGGAAGGAACAGTGTGCCTATTGGTGCTAATAAATGGCTCATAGTCTGTCTAGAACATACAGTTTCAGAGGTGGCGTTTCCTGTCATCTTTAGAGAATATGTATATATGGTGGTGAAAAGGGGTGGGAGAATTATCATAGGTGAAGTCCATACTCTCACATTTAAATCCAAGTGAAAGCTGGTTGTACTGAGCGCTGGAAGATGTGTCGGTATAAAGGTTTACTTTTCTTAGGGTCACTGCCCAGCGTGGCAGGTTGTGAGCAGTGCCTCCAGTGTGCCTGCTCTTCCAGGGCTTTGGTTGTATTGGGGCAGTTTATCTCAGAACATTTTCCTTACTTGTCCTTTTTGTCCCTGCAAACAGTATCTAAGGTCATCTTCATTTGATGTTGGGTCACTCTGGGGGAAGACAAGTATAGGGTGTCTGTCTGCTCCTCCCTCCAGCTTAGAGTATTTGTCTATGGAGAGATTGTTTTTGTCTGAAAACATGCTGTTTTTCAGCTACAAATACATGAATTCAGTGGAGTGATGGGAATAGAAGGTAGTGGCAATAGATTGGAAAATTGGCGAGTGTTGAAGAAGAAGTGAGAGTGTGAAAGAAGAGGTGAGAAAACTCTTTAAAGAAGTTTGGCTCTGAAGGAAAACTCTTTAAAGAAGTTAGGTGCAAGAAGACATGGCATGGCATCAGGGAAATTTTTTATTAGTCCTGATTTCCTTAATATGGAAGAGGCTTGAGAAAATTTAAATGTTTAAGAGAGTTATAGTCTGCAGTACTGTATTATATACTTAAAAATGTGTTTTAAGAGAGAATATTTTATGTTACATATTCTTAGTGCAGTAAAATAATTTTCCTAAAATGCTGATGGGCCAATGAAGGAAGGGCAGTTAAAGAGGCATTTGATTAATATGGCATAATGAACATACACATTTCATCTGCCTTTCTGTCCACCGCAAAGAAATCCTGCTGAAATAATGATAAAATAATTTAAAAGTTATAAGCCTCCAAGAGAATAGTAGAGAAGACCAAAGTGCACAAGTGATGGTAGATGGAGAAGGATCTGACTAGCAGAGCAGACTTCACTCTTTCAGAAGAAAGGGACAGAAAGCCTGCAGAAAGAGACACTAGTGAGAAATGAGATGGTGTGTCCTGTGCAGCTTAAGAAAAGGTCAGGCTGGGATCTGCAGAGGGAGGTGAAAACAAAGTCTGCACACAGCAGTGAGACCTAAGGTTCTCTCCCTGACCCTCTGCAGCTATACACCTCCACAGAAATGTATAGTTTAGGGAGAAAGTCAGCTGGCGACACACTCCTCCTAAAGATCCCAAGTAGGCAAAAGACACTGGGGTCAGATACTTACTGAACTCTGGGACTACTCAGTCCTTTTACCTCCCCTGCTTGAGGACCTCAAGTGACCTGGAACTGCTCTCTCTCCTCCTCTCTCAAGCAGGAATCTGTAGAAACTTGTTTGGAAAGGACATGTCCCTAGGGGAGAATTGGAGGTCAGGGGCAGAGGTTTCTCAGTAAAAAAGTTTAACATACATAGAAGGAATTAGACAATGCGGGGGGGAGGGGAGGAATGAGGGGATCAATCTCATTTTGTCCAACATTTGATTAATAAGAGTTCCAGAAGAGAGAAATAGACAAGAGGAAACTATCAAACAAATAACACGGATTAATTTCCCAGACTGAAGGACATGTCTCCAAAGGAAAGGGCCTGCCAACAACCCAGAGCAAGGAGTAAAAATAGTCTCCCAGGCCAGGCAATTCATCCCAAAGTGTAGGAATGCCAGGGGTAAAGATTAGATATTAAAACTTAAAAAGAAATGAAAGGTTGAACCGTGTCCAGCGTGGCCAGGGGTGAACCTGAGGAGGGGCAGTGAAGGATTAAAGAAGAGAGATACATTTAAGCTAGGTAGGATCACTGTGCCTGGATGAGGAAACAGTGACACAGCCTGTAACCTGAAGCTTTATTTTATAGTCAGATCACACAAAGCAAAACAAGGGGAGTGGTCAACATGTTTACAATGTTCTTGTGAGTTTCAAACCTATTTCCTTACTCAAGCCTTATTTTGGCAGCACTTATTGCCCCTCCCACAACCCATTAGCTACCTAGGAACAAGGGAGGACTGTAAGATCAACCTTAATGGTGCCAGGACTTGTATGTGGCTCTGCCACAGGTCAATCCAAGGCTTGACCCTATCGCCACTCCCTACAAAAGGTCCACGCGCAAAGGATGAGGAATCAGAAAGGCATCAGACTTTTTAAAAGCAACACAAAGTTCAAAGAGAAAAGAACAGTGCCTTAAAAAAAATCTTAGGGGAAAAAAAAGTCATTCTAACTTAGGTACACAGCACTATAAATCAAGTGTGACAGTAAAATAATGGTATTTTCAGACAGGCAGATTCCCCAAAAATTTCCATTATCATGGGAAACTGCTGAAGTAATGGAGAGGTTCCAGACTGCCAGCTCTGCAGCAGGCACAGAGGGCCCGAAGGAAGGGGATGATGGAGGACTCCAGGACAGAGACTCCAGAAAAAAGAGAGGTGGACTGGGAATAGCAGGTATCTAATGTTTGTGTGGAAAAGATATTTTACATATAAACTAGAGTCTTTGAGAAGAATAAGCAATAGGTAATAAAAAGTGAAGCAAATGAAAGAGACCTATTAACTCCAAGAAAAACTAAATGTTTAAGAAAGGAAACATAGCCATAGTATACTTAACAGTTCAGCAAAGAAACCTACTTACATAAACTAATAATAATAACAATAATAATAATAATAATAAAGGCACCAACTACTGGTTTGACAAAAACAGATATAACTGGGATATTGAAAAATAAAAAAACTAAATTCTTTTCTACCATAACTAGAAGTCATGGTCTAAATTGATAAAACAAGAAAAAAGGATTGTAAGACTATACTTTTGGAACATTTTTGGTCATATGAGGGGAGGCCTCTTCTTTTTAAATCTTAAATTGGTCAGATGATTTTTGTTTTGTTTTTTGGCTATTTTTTTTTGCATTTTACTTTTTTTTTTTTTTTTTAAACCAATGAGTGAAAAGTTTAAAACTCTCAAGAGTCAAAGGGGTTTTCAACAAAATTTTAAAAAACTTTATCTACCTACACTAATAAAAGAGTAAGATACAAATTAACCGTACTTTCACCAGGCCCACCAACCAATTAAGAGTGAGTAGGCAAATTAATCCAACAAAGATAGTGAATTTGCATATGCAGGCACCGAACAGCCAGGGGCAGTGTGGGATGCTTGTGTTGTTGCCATGGTGACGACAGAGGCATTCTGCACAGCTCCAGCCACTCTGGGCCTCTGGGGAGTGTAGGAAGGCGGAAAGGTGGCTCCAGCCAGAGTGAAGGCGGTGCTGGCAGCTAGGAGAAGGAAGGCTCATCCTTGCACAAATCTTCGTGCATTGGGCCTCTCGTATGAAGATAATATTAATCATCAAATATTACCTCAATTGGTTCCTCAGCCTTCTGCAGGTGAAACTTTTCTTTTTTCTTCCCAAAGTCTAAACAGTGACAGATGCATCCATCTGCTCACCCTACCCTGTTCTTAGGAG